GATAACATACCTTAAGTTGGTTCCAGGTCCCTGATGTGCCACAACTGTTGCATACATGACTACCAGTTGTTTTGTTGACAAACAAACTAAATGATCCCTGATTCTCAATTGCCGAGGTCCTCGACTCCCTGCTCAAGATGGTAGCACAGAATGGACATTTAGCTATTATGGTTGTGTGACCATGTTGAAATTGTATTTCCTTTTGTTTGAAATAACCCTCAATACTTCTGACTGTTTGAGGAAAAATCTCCTTGCCAGATGAGGATAGAGTTGCCATATTATTCAACGGTCCTATCCATCTGTAGCATCGGTTTGAAAATTGTAGTCGGAAAAGCTTTGAAACTATATTCACACTACATAGACACATAGAGAGGCGTGCCTTCATATTGGATGAATATTAAGGTTACTCCACATGATGAAAGTCCATTTCAGGAAAATGCTCGCCGCGCACTAAATTTTTCAGTTTCCCCCCTCAAATTTGGCATTCACAACGATAAATCATTGCTGCTGCTACTACTTTAACAAAAATTATACATTTTTAAAAACTATGGTTGCTGCGAGCTGCCTTTGAAAATATAACGCACTTCGCACGACGAGCTTTAGAACCATCCGATTAAACTCAGAAGCTTCCGAAATATCACATTTGCCATGTTAAATGATCAAAGAACAAAACCGTGTTCGCGTTTTTTGACAGGTATTATATTTGCCGAGATATAAAGCAGATAAGTTGACTCATCAAAAATTTGCAATAACGATAGAACAGAAGCCTATAATTTGAAAACTAAAGCATTAAAAGAAAAACGCGAACACAGTTTTGCTCCTCTGATGTTGTTCTATATTGTGGTAAAGTTTGGTAGCAATTGAATAAAACGTGCCCGTTCCATAACTTGTTTTGTGAGGACAACCGGGCTGATAATTCCTTTCTCTGTAAAAGACAAAAAGTGATTTCACGGAGATTTTCCGTTCTCTGTTATGTTTCTCCGCCCCCTGTCATCACTTCAAACTGAAGCCAATCAGTTTCGACTTTTAAAGTGTGTTTTGGCTGGGTTTCATTTTGACTCAGCATCAATGACAAGGTGATAAGCAAGCGCACTTTATATAGGGGTAGGGGTAAAACGCGGAAACGGAACGGAACGGACTGGCGGAACCGGAAAAGCGGAAACGGAATAGTGGGTAAAACGCGGAAAAGAGGGTAAAACGCGGAAAAGAGGATAAAACGCGGAAAAGAGGGTAAAACGCGGAAAAGAGGGTAAAACGCGGAAAAGAGGGCAAAACGCGGAAAAGAGGGTAAAACGCGGAAAAGAGGGTAAAACGCGGAAAAAAGGGTAAAACGCGGAAAAGAGGGTAAAACGCGGAAAAGAGGGTAAAACGGGGAAAAGAGGGTAAAACGGGGAAAAGAAGGTAAAACGCGGAAAACAAACTTTGAAACCAAACTTTGACTTTGTTAACAAAATCAAATTTAATCTAATTAAATACCATAATAAAACGAAGTAAATGTACCTCATTACTGTACTTGAGTTCTATTTTTGACTGAGTCGGCATGTGACAAAGTAAACTTTCTTTGGAGTACTTTTACTTGGAACGAAGTCGTTTAAAGAAGTAACGTTTTACTTCGTTATTTTTATTATCTTGCGAAGTATTTTGTTACTTTCTAACTTTTGTTTAATTTTACGTGATGTATTCAGGATTTATTTTAATTTTGGAATAGATAATAGGACCTCTACATGCGCCTGGATAGATTTCTTATGTCTTCAACGGGATCTGGAGAGTAGACCATGCCGCGAAATACTGTATATTAGGTGCACCGTGGACGCATCTAATGCGTGTGTTGTTTTGTATGTCAATCCATTGGAGAAGCCCCCCCCCTCTTACACGCCAAAGACAATAGTACTTTTACTTAAGTACGTTTTGCTTCCAGTACTTTTTACACTTATTCAAGTCGTTTTATTGTTAATTACTTTTACTTTTACTCGAGTACAAATTCAAAGTAATTTAGGCACCACTGGGTATAGTGGACAAACTGCGTTTACTTTTGTAAAGCGAAGATGCCTTTTTCGCCTCAGAAGGAAGACCATGCATTCCACTATACTTAAAACTTCGTTTAAGATAGTTTGATCATTACTTCGAAGATTATATTCTCCATTAAGATCTTTAATTTTTATAAACTTTTTCTCTAAGACTTGGAGCGGACTGTTCATTAAGAATTTTGTACATCAAAATGCTCTTCACCCAATGACGTCTTACATCGTATGCCTACGGACTAACAAACATACACTACTATGTAAAGGCCGGTTTACACCATCAAAGTTACTGTGATCAAAGTTACTGTGATCAAAGTGGCGTCATCTCGCGCAAGCAAACCTGTGACTTTATAAATACACTGTAAATTTCAAGGAGTTCAACTCCGCCGAGTGTTATATTCTGTCACCAAAAACGATGACAGAAGAACTCTTTTAAAGTTGTTTCAACTCCTTGAAATACAGTGTAGACAACATGTTTCACAAATCTAAGGAACTTTGTAGACCATTTCAACGACCGAATTCATAAATTTTTAGATATTTAAATAACCCGAAACATATTGTGAATGAATGAATGAATGAATAGTTTGTTTAATAAAAACATCATCTGGCAGTCAGAAGACTGAATTACATGACGTTAAGTGTTACAAGGTTATAAATAGTAAAAAATTCTATATTACAATGCAATTTAAAAATTGTTAATATATACTATATATCATATACTTGAATGTACTAATCTATATGAGTTAAAAATTCTAAAATGTTCAAGGAACATCTAATTTGTAATGTTTCTTAGCATAAAAGTTGACAAAAGAGTTTCCGAAACGATTTGTATTTGCTGGTAAAACTTCAAAAGATCTTTCTTTTCGTAATTCTCTATTGCCTGCTTTGGATGGTAAAAGTTTGGCAAGTTTATGATCATCATTTAAAACAATGTCGTTGAAGAGATTATTAGATAGATACTCCCGTCTGTTTTCAAGAGTGGAAATACCAGCGATGTTAAGAGCCTCGTCGTAAGACAATTCATAGAATATTATTTTCATTGCTCGCTTCTGTATACGTTCAATGTTTTTTGCAAGATTTCGTGGCAGGGAACTATGGAATAATTGGCACGCATATTCGAGGACAGACCTTATACAGCTGCAAAAAAATTTGACCAAATCTGCCGAAGCGACATCAGCACGTTTGAGTTGCCTCAACAAATATAAACGTTTAGCTGCTTTGGAGACAATTGAATTTACATGATCTATCCATTTAAGGTCATTTCTTAATATAACTCCAAGCGATTTGATACTTGTCACTCTTTCCAAATTTCGGTCACCAATACGTATAGGTTCAAAAACAGGTGGTAATCGTGAAAAGGATATTACCATTTCTTTGCATTTAAATGGGTTTAGTTGAAAGGAATTGTCCATAGACCAAGTAGTAATATCATCGATATCCATTTGTAAAGTACTTTGTTCGTTTTTTTCAACAATTTCAGAGACCGTAGTATCGTCGGCAAATTTCCACATTTCTGAAAGGTGATTATGTAACACAAGGTCATTTATCATGGCTGAGAATAGCCAAGGCCCAAGTCGTGTGCCTTGAGGGACACCAGCTGGAACTTGGAGCCAGTCTGAGAAACAATTATCACTTAGTTTGACCCTTTGCCATCTATTACGTAAAAAGTCAATAATCCAGTTAACCACACAGGGCTTAATACCAAGGCTGAATAATTTCGCAACTAATGTGGTGTGATCCACCATGTCAAATGCTTTTTTATAGTCAAGAAATACAGTGCGAACAGATGAACCACTTCCATCTGTTGCACTCGACCAACAATGGAGCATCGATATCAAGGCAAGTACAGTGGAAGAATTTGGAATAAAGCCAAATTGTTGGGGATCAACAACCTTTAACAGAGTTGGTTTTACTTCTCTTTCGATTACAAGACGTTCCGCTATCTTTGATAGAGTGGAAGTTAAGGAAATAGGTCGTAATTCCCTTTCCAAGTCTTTGACAGTAGATGTTTTTGGTAAGGGGACCACATCGGCCAGCTTCCAAATTTGAGGGACTTTACAGCTTTGAAAGGAAGAATTGATTATATTTGCAACTGGTGAGGCGAGAATATCCGAATAGGTTTTTAAAACCCAATTGGAAATACCGTCAGGGCCACTGGAACGCGATGTATTAATTTCTTGCAATTTTCTAGCTATAGTTGACTCGGTCACAATAATAGGCGTTTCATCGTTGTGTACAATTACAGCCGTATCTTCAGATAATGGAACATAGTTCTGTATCACATTTATAAAAACATTGTTAATTTTATTACTGAGGTTTATGTCTGTCTCCTGCCATAAATCTTGATGGAGTTGGTCTTTTACACTTTTGTTGTTTAGTTTAGATGTGCCACACAACTGCTTCACGTCCCGCCACCAATCTCGGGGGTTAGTGTTACGTAAATTATGAACTTTAGATTGATAATAGCTCTTACGACAACGTTTTCGTTCACGATTAACTTTATTACGTAACATTTTAAAAAGAGTGACATTACCAGATGCAAAGGCTTTTTGTCGACGATTTATCAGTGATTTCAGATTGCTATTAATCCATGGTCGATCATTAGGGTGGAATTTTATTGAACGTTCAGGCATAATTAAGTTCAAACCATAGTTTATAATGCTAGTTAAAAAGTATAGTTTTTGATCATTTGAGGGTATGGACGATAAAATGTCCCATGGAATTTCCTGGAGAAATCGACCAAGACTTCTAATATTACTGGGTCGCTTGTCTCTTGTTTTAACAATACGCGATTGTGGTTCGTGCGATCTTTTCCTCGTTCCAGGACACATGGCAATTGTTAGATGGTCTGATAAGCCAAATGGAGGAGCACTAGTAGGAGGTGAATAGTATTCAAATAGATTGGTATAAATTTGGTCAAGAATATTGGCACCTCTGGTGGAAAAATCAATTACTGGTTTTAGTTGAAAAGGTTTAACAGTAGCCTGTAAGTCCAATTTGTTGAAATCACCAGCAATAATGATTGCAGGGTTAGGAATTGAAGATTCAATATATTCTAATGAAGATTGGACATAGTCACGCATACTTGTACAATCGGCATCTGGAGGGTGGTACACAACAGCTATTATCATATTTGAGTAATTTCGTGGGAGTCGTTTTAGTTGTAAAGCTAGCCACAATACTTCGTGATTATCACTATCTAACTCCGTTAGGCGGTTGCAAGAAATGGTATTGTTAATATAAAAACAAACCCCACCATGGGATTTGTGTTGACGATCACGCCTGAATAATTGGTCACGAATTTGTAATATTAATAGCTTCATCTGGAACGGATTCTTTTAACCATGTTTCGCTGAAAAAGGCAATATCTATATGATTCGAAGTAAGAAATACAGCAATTTCATCGATTTTCGGGGCTAGCGACATAGTGTTTGACAATAATATAGCAGGTACAAAATGCGACGAACAAGACACGGTTTTACTATTAACTTCGGGGTTCACAGATACATGATCTGTATTATTCTGACAGATCCGTATTATTCTGCATTTCGATTATATTGTTTGTGCAAAGAAAACTTGTCTGCAGCGAACAAATCTTATTTGAAAAACCGTTAAATAATTGTATGTTTACACGCGCAAAAAGTGACGTATTTAGTGACAAAATGTTATGTTTTGAAAGGTAAAATGGTAAATATCATGAAAAATTTGGGGAAGTTAATAAACACGCTCACTCGACTTAATTAAATACAGGTTATGGTGTCATATAACTGACAGGGAAATGTTATCTCATTTATCACTGTACTTTTGACAGTCACAGTTAACGAAAGGACTAGTTTTACTGATACTTGAAGCGCTTCTTCTCTTTACGACACTTCAAAGTTCAGTGATAAATGTGTAAGTGTCTGAAGTCTAAACTTCAAGTCTAGACGTTAATTGTGCAAGTGTCTGAAGTCTAAACGAACAAAATTCATGGTTTGAACCCTGAATAAAAATGTCGGGCTCGTGCCTAATTGTCAACTAAAATGTCGAAACTGGGAAGCCTTAAAGTTCCATCGGTCATTAAGAAAAGACGAATCGATCATGGTTTGCCAACATTTAGCTGGAATTCATTAAGAAACGTGGAGGAAATTGGCAGTGGTAGCTATGGATCTATACACCGCGCAATTTATGACAAGGAGACAGTTGTTGTTAAAAAGCTTAAAGGCAAATCGTCAATTGCTAAAGACCTATTTCTTAAGGAAGCAAAGTTGCTTTTTGGGGCAATTGCCATAAAGCCGTACGATCTAGTATTAGTGACGAAGATGAATAGGGAATGGTCAGATAAGTACAGGAGAGAGACGCCAGAGTTTCCAGAATGTGTACTTTCACGTAAATCTCCGCTGTATTAAAATGAAGCAGCCCTATTTCAGTCCACAAATGGTGACAATACCCGACTCAGATAGAGCACATTTAACTTCTGTGCATAAACATTTTCTAACAGAGTTTGGTATAATAATTTAATTGTATATAATCACAGCATCAGTTGACTGTTTGGACTTGGACCTTGTTGTTTTGTTTTTTGAGATATAAGTTTGTTTATTGGGACATTATTCTATGTATAAGATGTCTAAATTTTACCATTTTTATAAGCAGATAAATACAAAGTCAAAACATTTACAATTGCACTGAGGTATGGATGGGTATAAAACTTACTAATGGACTTTATATTTCAGATTATAGCTTTTATAGAATACATTTTTCCGGAAAATGTCAGCGTTAAATTTTTCCGGAACATGTTACATAATGGATAATTACATAATGGGCTTAAATGTAATTATTCATACCATTTTTTACTTCAATTTTGCAGAAAAGTCCTTAATATTTACCACGTTCCGCAATTTCAGGGCCCCTTCTCCGCAAGTCGGCTCCCTTTTTTACTATTATTTGGGGTGTTAGCCCTCCCCCCCCCATACACCCCAGTAGTTATGTAGGTTAATTGACGTTAATATTTGAGTTATCAGGGTTGTTAATAGTATCAGAATATCGTAAATGTATGTTGCTTTTTTATGACATAACAAACTCCCTTCGCGTGGAAATCATAGTTGAAGGGACTAGTGTGTATAATTTTTAAATAAATATAGTTTTACCAAGCTACATACCTAGCTCGTAAAGAAAAAACTATTCTAAAACTTTTTTCCGCGTTTTACCCTCTTTTCCGCGTTTTAACCTCTTTTCCGCGTTTTACCCTCTTTTCCGCGTTTTATCCTCTTTTCCGCGTTTTACCCTCTTTTCCGCGTTTTACCCTCTTTTCCGCGTTTTACCCTCTTTTCCGCGTTTTACCCTCTTTTCCGCGTTTTACCCTCTATTCCGTTTCTGCTTTTCCGGTTCCGCCAGTCCGTTCCGTTCCGTTTCCGCGTTTTACCCCTACCCACTCCTTGGGTCAGTCCATTAGTTGTTATCCCAAAGAAAGATGGTGAGATCAGGCTATGCATTGATATGCGCATGGCTAATCACGCAATTCAACGCGAAAGACATCCGACCCCAACTGTGGATGATTTAATTCACAAATTAAACGGCGCCACCATATTTACAAAGCTTGATCTTCGCTCGGGATACCACCAGTTATCTCTCGCTGAGGAAAGTCGACACATAACCACATTTGTAACACACAAAGGACTCTACCGCTATAAGAAGTTGAATTTTGGCACCAATTCGGCAAGTGAAATCTTCCAACATGTAATTAGCGAACAAATCCGTGACATTCCGAATGCCATCAACATTAGTGATGACATAATTATCTTTGGCATAACCCAAGCTGAGCATGACAAAGCTCTTCATAAAATTTTTGAGCGGTTTTCACTCATTGGATTAACCTTCAACAAAGACAAATGTGAGTTCAGTCAATCGCAGCTCACATTTTTTGGTTTTGTCTTCTCAGGTGATGGCATTTCACCGGATCCAGCGAAGGTTTCAGCAATTCACAACTGCCCACCTCCAAATTCAATTAAAGCTGTTCGGAGTTTCCTCGGGATGGTGACATATTGTGCGAAATTTATCCCTAATTTCAGTGATCTCACAGAGCCTTTGCGAGAATTAACGAGAAAAAATGTGCCTTTTTGCTGGACATCTAGGCATGCTAAATCCTTCAACGCAGTAAAAGCTGC